ATCCAATAAGCACCTGTTAGCGTTCTAAGGGCAAAAATTACACATATAATTTCTTGACTACCTATTGCCGTTTTGGAGGTCCTGGAGCATCAGGGCAATGGAATTATCCACAAAATGACCCCATTTTGGAAAGCAAACACCCCAAGGTATGTTTTAAGAGGCATGCAGAGTCTTCTGAAGACTTCATTTTTTTGCCACAAGTCTTTGGAAAATGCGAAAAGAAAATGAAAATGTATTTTTTTTTACGCAAAGTTGTCAATCTATGAGATATTTCTAATACACTGCATAGGCATACTTAAAATTACACACCCCAAAACACATTCTCTAACTCTTCCTGAATATGGTGATACCAAATGTGTGAGACTTTTTCACAGTCTGGCCACATAGAGGGGTTCCACATCCAATAAGCACCTGTTAGCGTTCTAAGGGCAAAGATCGCACATCTAATTTCTTAACTACCTATTGCTGTTTTGGAGGTCCTGGAGTATCAGGACAATGGAATTATCCACAAAAAAGACCCCATTTTGGAAAGCAAACACCCCAAGGTATGTTTTAAGTTCTCCGTCACTCTCATCTGTCATACTCAGAATTTGAAATGCCTCCTCGCTTGTACATGATCTTTTGGCCATATTTTTGACACTGATCAGGACCCACTGGTATGGCAGTGATCAGGCTGGTGTTGCAGTGAGGGACAGATATCTGGCTGCAGTTGGTTCACACTAGTCACTGTTGGGCAAAAATCAGAGATACAGTGAGGTGGCTGGCAATGTTTTGTGAGTGTGTGTAAACTCTGTGCAAAGGCTGAAAATTACTCACAGTTAGCTGTACTGGATCTCTCTCCTCACAGACGATGGCAGTGAACAGGATCCACTGGTGTGGCAGAGATCAGGGACACTTTATGAACAGGCACACTGTAAGGTGATCAGGGACACTGATTGGGCCACTGTATGGTGATCAGGGACACTGCTGAGCCACTGCGGTGATCAGGGACACTGCTGGGCCACTTGTGTGGCGATCAGGGACACTGTGGCAATCAGGGACACTGTGGCGATCAGGAACACTGCTGGACCACTTGTGCGGCGACCATGGACACTGCTGGGCCACTGCGATGATCAGGACACTGCTGGGCCACTTGTGTGGCGATCAGAAACACTGCTGGGCAACTGCGGTGATCAGGGACACTGCGGTGATCAGGGGCACTGCTGGACCACTTGTCCAGCAATCAGGGACACTGCTGGCCACTTGTGTGGTGATCAGGGACACTGCTGGGCCACTTGTGTGGTGATCTGGGCCACTGCGGCAATCAGGGACACTGCGGTGATCAGGGACACTGCTGGACCACTTATGCAGCAATCGGGGACACTGCGGTGATCAGGGACACTGCTGGGACACTGCGGCGATCAGGGACACTGCTGGACCACTTCTGCGGCGATCAGGTACACTGCTGGGCCACTGCGATGATCAGGACACTGCTGGTCCACTTGTGTGGCAATCAGAAACACTGCTGGACTACTGCGGTGATCAGGGACACTTCGGTGATCAGGGGCACTGCTGGACCACTTATCCGGCGATCAGGGACACTGCTGGGCCACTTGTGTGGTGATCAGGAACACTGCTGGGCCAATGCGGTGATCAGGGACACTGCTGGGCCAATTGTGTGGTGATCAGGAACACTGCTGGGCCAATGCGGTGATCAGGGACACTGCTGGGCCACTTGTGTGGTGATCAGGAACACTGCTGGGCCAATGCGGTGATCAGGGACACTGCTGGGCCACTTGTGTGGTGGTCAGGGACACTGCTGGGCCACTGCGGCAATCAGGGCCACTGCGGCGATCAGGGACACTGCTGGGACCACTTGTGCGGCAATCAGGGACACTGCGGTGATCAGGGACACTGCTGGACCACTTGTGCGGCAATCAGGGACAATGCTGGGTTACTTGTGCGGCGATCAGGGACACTGCTGGGCCACTTGTGTGGCGATCAGGGACACTGCTGGGCCACTGCAGCAATCAGGGACACTGCGGTAATCAGGGACACTGCTGGACCACTTGTGCGGCAATCAGGGACACTGTGGCGATCAGGAACACTGCTGGACCACTTGTGCGGCAATCAGGGACACTGCGGTGATCAGGGACACTGCTGGACCACTGCGGCGATCAGGGACACTGCTGGACCACTTGTGCGGCAATCAGGGACACTGCGGTGATCAGTTACACTGCTGGGCCACTGCGGCAATCAGGGACACTTCTGGGCCACTTGTGTGGCAATCAGGGACACTGCTTGGCCACTGCGGCGATACTGCTGGGCCACTTGTGTGACGATCAGGGACACTGCTTGGCCACTGCGGCGATCAGGGACACTGACGATCAGGGACACTGTGGCGATCAGGAACACTGCTGGGCCACTATGTGGTGATCAGGGACACTGACAATCAGGGACACTGCTGGGCCACTTGTGGGGGCGATCAGGGCCACTTGTGGGGGCGATCAGGGCCACTTGTGGGGGCGATCAGGGCCACTTGTGGGGGCGATCAGGGCCACTTGTGGGGGCGATCAGGTGTCACTGAGGTGGAGGGCAGTTAGCTACAGCCCTTTTCTTCGCTGTTTCTCCTCTCACAGACAACTCCGTGAGAGGAGAAGGAGGCGGAAGCCGCACCATGCGGCTTTTGTTTACACTTAAGCTGTGTCCTTATTGGACACAGCTGATCACATGGTATGGGACCGATTTCATTGGTCCCATACCATGTCACGTAATCCACCGTGTCCGTCGGACTCGGCGATCATCGGGCTTGCGGGTGCGCGCTCTAGGAGCCGCGCACGAGCCTCAGATGCAAGGTGCCGTTTAGAGACCGCAACCCGCTCCTGTAGGTGTCCCGTCCTGCCATTTATAAACAGCGGCCGGACGGGAAGTGGTTAAACATACTGTCACCAGCCAGTGTCCCTGATCACTGCCACACCAGTTATGATACTATACTGCACTGGTAACTTCATATTCAAAAAAATTGTAACAGAAAAAATGACAACTTCAAAAAAACTCACCATGTACCTTGTTAAATCCCTTGGGATGTCTAGTTTCCAAAAATTTCAGTAAAAAATTCAAGTAAGTTAATTTTAGGGCACAAAAAGAGCAATAAATTACCCTTTTTTATTGTAAAATATAAAAGATGAGGTTGCAGCGAGTAAATAGATATCCAACTTGTCAAACCTTAAATTTGTGTGTGTGCTCGTGAAATGGTGACGAACTTCAGTACCCTATATTTTCTATAGGTCGACACTTTTAAAACTCCTTATAGGTCATCAGTTTAGCATTACGGAGGTGGTCTGGTGCTAGAATTATTGCTCTCATTCTGGCACGCGCAGCGACATGTGATGTGTATCGCAGTTGACGTTTAAATGCATAGGTACCCCAGCGTGTGCATTTACGTTTGTACTTGTGTATATGTGGAGGGCTTCAATTTTTTTTTTGGGGGGGATGGTATATGCTTGGGTGTAACTTTCATTTTTTACAATAAGGAAAAAACTTTTTTTTTTATCATCATAGGGGACAAAGTCCCCTATGTGATGATTTTTTTGGGATATTTTGGCAAAACAGGTTCTCTTTATTGAGGCATCCAGGGTCTGTATGAAAGACCCTGTATATCTCCCCTGTCCTCCAGAAAATGTAATGCAGTGCACGTGGCACCGCATTACATTCTTTCCTGGCTTTCATGGCTGGGAATCTCTCAACGTCACTTCTGACGTCAGGACAGAAGGGGAGGGGAGTGGACGTGTCCGCTCTCCTTCCTCCCCTGTAGCCGACGGCGGTGAGCTGGACCTGGGCCCGTAGATGGGCAAGCGGCGCTTGAGACCTCTTGCGGGGTGGGGGGGGGGGGGGGAGGCTGGCACTGTGTGGAGGCAATCGGGAGGCAGTGCTTCCACCTGATAGATGAGCCCGCTGCTTGCCCACAGCAGGGCTAAAGGTAGAAAAAAAAACTACCTGCCCGATACTACATGTGCTGGGCGAAAGGAATCGAACATCCCTGTATTTGTGCATTCTATAACTTCCCTACAGACTAAATCATGTACACTCTTGGGTTATTTTTACCAATTAAATTTAGCAGAATACATTTTGGCCTAAATTTATGACTAAGGATTCTTTATTTGCAACATTTTATAACAAATGAAGAAAGATTCCCTTTTTTATAAAAAATTTTCAGTCTTTTTTTTTTTTTTTTTTTTAGCAAAAAGCTATATTTATGTAAAAAAAAAAAAAAATTTTCATTTGGGCAGTGTTGCATAACTGAGCAATTGTCATTCAAAAATGTCAGTTGCGCTACACATGTAACATATTGCGGTGCATGCTGGAGTGAGCGTAATAATTCTTGAGCCATTGCTCATGGTTAGCTCTAAACTGATGACCTATAAGCCCTGGTTCACACAGGTGTGTCTTGTCATTTGATTTGACCGTTTCAGAATCGCAACCTATTGTTGGCAAAGGAACTGTTCAAATTGGTGGGACTCCGACACTGTGTGTCGCACAGATTTTGAAAGTAGTTCCTGCACTATTTTTTTGTGATTTCACGTGCGACTTGCATAGACATCTGTGCAAGAATTCACACAGATGTCTGTCAAGTCGCACCTCGAAGTCGCACTGAAATGCGTCTTTGAAATTGTGCAACTTCAGCGCTTTTAAAGCATCAGCTATGGAAAATGTAAGGTCATTTTAAGTATTGACACCTCATCATTTATATCCCCCCCCCCCCCCCAATAAAAAAAAAATGGATAATGTGTTTGAAATTCTGTGCATGATAAACTGTTGCATTATTATTGCTTAACATAAACAAATTAGACCTACCACCATGTTATTTTCCATTAGCAGTATTATTGCACACTATGGCTAAAGTCGTCCATATTCATTTTAAACTTATGAGAAACAAATACTTAAGTTACCTTCACTTTTATTTAATTATTATTTCTCTGTGTTTATCGGTCTCTTTTTTTTTTTTTTTTTTTTTCCCCCAGTTCAGTTTGCCAATGGAAATATTCAGACCCCCAAGGATGTACGTTTCACTTTGTATAGGAATGAAGATGACAAAACCCCAGAAACAAAAAGGCAAAAAATTTTGGTATGATGGTGTGTGGACACCTAAAAATGTAGCATTTTTAAAGTTCATCTGTGCTTTGGCCGTGTACTGCTGGGAGAGAAAGTAGGATGCCATGTGTGTTAGTGTTGAGTGCCTAAGCAGCTAACCACCAAGCCCCAGCCCCGCCATGTTGAAAAAAGGAGAGTCACGCTTCATTGCCTGCAGCCCAAGAAAGTGGCAGGGGAGAGAAAGGAAGGTTGTAACCTGCCTAGTTACCCTGCATAGCAAAGCACATGTCACATTAAGGCATATTTTTCTTGCATGTCTTGACTACTGGAACAGGAAGTGAGACTTCCTTCCCAACAAGGATACAGACAGCAAAAACATGGTAGGGGCTCTAACCCTCCCCACTATAATCAAAGCTAAGAAAAAACTTTTTCATTTTCCACATTGATTTGAATTGATTTGAGTTCCACTTTGATTACAACTCCTATCTCAACATTGTATGGATAAATACTAGCCATAGAGGGCACTATATACTTCACTAATTAACAGATTATTTGTTTACTTCTATAAAGAATTCTGTGTTGAAGCCTGATTAAAAAGGCTTTGTTCAGCAAGAAGGCTTTGGTCATTAAGAAGTCAATGCTTTGATCTGCAGTGCAACTTCCAAGCTGGCCCTAACCTAATTGTACCCATGGAAGAGATCTCTTCCATTTTCCCCTTGGTCTGGCCATCTACAGGTAGTAACACACTAAGTAGTAGTATTTGTAAATGAAGCAACATGAGGGGCACCTGAAAGTGAATGATAGCCCATATTTTGGCACTCTGAAGCTGTGCTTGATAAAAATCAGAATGTACTAATCTTGTGATATTTATTTTAATTTTGTCATTTTGCTGCTTTTTTTTTTTTTTTTTTTTTTCCCTCAGGCAGCAGAAAACAGACAGACTAAGTTATGTAGGAAATAATTTCTCAACTGAAACTGCAAAGAGCACCCCCCTGTGCAAGTAAGCAAACTGTTGACTGATATCTTTTCATCTCATTACTGGTTTCAGCAAATAGTATTATGTGCTCTTAGATGAATAAAGCACAAAATGAAATGTGTTTCTCAAAATCATTCACTCCATAACTAAAATAGATGGCACGAATTGTAAGTGTGGTTTCCACAAGAATATATTGTTGTTGATCATGCTTTGGTTATTAAAAGCATCTTTTTATTTACCTAAAAACTTTCAAATTTCACCAGCCACTATAGGACAAAGTGCTGGTGTTTGGGCCTTCGGATAGAACCACTGAGTAACAGGAAGAAGGGTCAGCCGCACACCGGAGGATAGACGAATATAGTGTGTATTTATCGATCCATGGGACACACAATTATGATTAAGCACGAGATCGTGTGAAACGCGTTAACAGGTCCTGTATTCATGTCCTGGTGTTTTGTGTGTCCCATGGATCAATAAATACACACTATATTCATCTATCCTCCGGTGTGCGGCTGACCCTTCTTTCTGTTGCATCGTGTGTGGTGGCGAGCCAGAGCCTGCGCCTGTTGTGGATTGATCTGGATTGTTTGCCTGAGCGGTATACCTCTGTTGTTTGGATAGAACCACTGAGTGCAGTCAATCCTAAGAATTTAAATGTTACATACAGATCTGCTGTTTTATCAACCATTTTTTAGGTGTGCAAAAGCAGGACCTTTTCTGGAGACAAAATCTTCAAAGCTTTGAACTGCTTTATTAGATCAGATACCACCATCAGCTATTGTATTCACTACTAACCCGCACTCAGATATAGAAAAAAATGATTATGCTGTATAAGTGCTATGTGTCTTTAACACTGGACTGCTATTCTAAGGTTTTAGAACCCTGAAACTAAATAGATCTAAACTCACAGCACTGTCCTATGCAATCCTCCAATAAATCATTATTTAACCACTTGAGCTCCAGAGGATTTACCCCCCTTAATGACCAGGCCTCTTTTTGCTACTCGGCGCTGCACTAATTCAACTGATAATTGCGCGCGGGTCATGCAATGCTGCACCCAAATGAAATTTACGTCCTTTTTTTCACACAAATAGAGCTTTCTTTCGGTGTAATTTGATCACCTGTGCGCTTTTTATTTTTCACGCTATAAACAAAAAAGGCCAAAAAATTGAAGAAAAACAATATTTTTTACTTTCAGCTATAAAAATATATAGTAAACTCAAAGTTGGTTATAAATTTAGGCCAAAATGTATTCTGCTACATGTTTTTGGTAAATAAAATCCCAATAAGTGTATATTGATTGCTTTGTGTGGAAGTTATAGCGTCTACAAACTATGGTATAAATACTGCAATTTACGCCATTTTTCTGCTATACAGCGCTGCACTAGTTTAACGGACAATTGCGCGGTCATGCAATATGGTACATAAATGAAATTTACATCTTTTTTTTCCTCACAAATTGAGCTTTCTTTCGATGGTATTTGATCACCTGTGCGGTTTTTATTTTTTGCGCTATAAAAAAAAAAGGCTGACAATTTTGAAGAAAAAAAAAACAATATTTTGGACTTTTTGCTATAAAACATTTCCAGTAAAAAAAAAATGCAAAAATCAAACTTAGTCATAAATTTCTGCCAAAAATGCATTCTGCGACAGGTCTTTGCTAAAAAAAAAAACCCAATACGTGTAAATTAATTTGTTTACGTGAAAGTTATAATGTTTACAAATGGCGGGAAAGATACTGGGATTTTTAGTTTTTTTTTTTTTTATACTAATAATGGCGGCGATCAGCGAATTATGGCGGCGATCAGGGACTTATAGCAGCGACCAGCGACTTATGGCGGGACTGCAGCGGACATTGACATTGGGGGGTACTGACTTGGGGTCACTGACATCCCCAAAAACACTAATACAGTGATCAGTGCAAAAAAAAAAACACTGACACTGTACTAATGGCAATGGGGAGGAAGGGGTTAACTTTATTTTGCAGGGAAGGGTTATAGGAGTAAGGGGAGTGTTTTACTAGGGGGCGGGGGTGTGTACTGGACGGGACAAGGCTGATCGAGAAAGAGAAACTGTTCTTTCTCGATCAGCTCATCCTTGAGCTGACAGGGAAGTGACAGACAGCACAGCTACTGCAGCTGTGCTGTCTGTCACTGTTTGCCGCCGATCGCCAGGAAACAGCCGCTAAGGAACGGCTGTGAACTGGCGACTCACATCTGCGGCGGTGATCGGCGGGACAGATAGGGCGGCGGCGTGCCTCACGCGCGCCCCCTATTTGTTTACAAAACACGTTTTAAAACGTGGTTTTGCCTGCGAGTGCCGCCCTGCCGCCGTATATCTACAGTGGCTGGGCGGCATGCGGTTAAACATCATAATGAACATTAAAGTGCTTTTATGCAATCTTTGTAACAAAGTGCTAGTGCTTAAATAGAATTTTGTGCAATCTTCCAAATACTTGTGCTGATGTGCCAAATCTCCACTGCTTCACATGCATCAATCTCTTGTGCTGTGCCCCCCTCGAGTGTTCACACACTCTCCAGAACCTGTGGACTCTATGCTTAAGCATTGAGTCAGTAGCATTTGTTTTTGCAGGCTTCACCGGCACGTAAGAACTCCAAGAACTTCTTCTCCGTCTCTCACTGCTCCTCTAGTGCAGTAGTTATGCTCAGTACCATATGTGGCTCATCTGCTCCTCAACAGCGGTGGTTCCAACCTGGGTGGCCTGCAGCAAGACTAGGGCAGTGTGTTCAACTCAGTCCATTCCAACCTGGCTTTAGTAGCCCATTATATTGAACCATATGATTAGTCAAAGTAGTACATATGTAACTAGTTTTCCTGAAACACATTCTTATGACTTGATTTCTCTCTTGTCCACTCAAAAACTGCCCCACAAAGGTGTATACATTCTGACTTTGTGCCTGATTTAATCAGACTCCTGTTCCCACACTAGGTTTAGGGTTTCCACTTGTCTGAGGGTGCTGCAGGGGTTCAATAACAAATGCCTCAGTTGCCAGAGAGTTCAAACTTGCTCAGAACTTGTGAACCATTCCACTCTCCCTCACTGACACCTGCAGCCAGCAGCTATTGCCTATGACCACAATGGGATGACCAATGAACTTGTCCATCTAAAGAAATACAGAAGAATATTTTTCTATACTACAGATTTGTAGACTGATGTTTCTTCCTGTCCTTTTAGTACCCCTTTTTTTCTTGTGATTTCCTGATTTTATTTTGTACTGAGCAAAAGGATAAACAATTGAAATACATTCTGTATACAGTATCTCACAGAAGGGAGTTCGCCCCTCACATTTTTGTAAATATTTTATTCTATCTTTTCATGTGATAACACTGAAGAGATAACACTTTGCTACAATGTAAAAGTAGTGAGTGTACAGTTTGTATAAGGCTACGTTCACACTAGCCTTGTGTGCAGGCGGCAGAGAGGCGTTTGGGAAGCGTTTTTACCGCTTCCCAAACGCCTCTGCCAACTCTGCACATTACAGCACATGGTGCTGTTCTAACAGGAGCGTTTCCGTCGCGTCGCGTTGCGTCGCGGCAAAACGGATGCCTCTGGTCGAGTCAGGAGGCTTTGAAGCCTCCTATTCTCGTCTATGGTGCCGCTCCGCAAACGCCCGGCCGGCGTTTGCGGTGCGGTTGCGACGCGGTTGCGGGGCGTTTGCGGAACGGTAACACCACTCAAATGCATTATAGGCGTTTGTGGGGTGTTAACGCTCGGCAAACGCCTAGCAACCGCCGCTAAAACCGCGCATGCGGCGTTTGCGGAGCGTTAAAAACGCTCCGCAAACACCGGACCAACGCTTGCCAAACGCTATAGGGGCGTTTGGCAAGCGTTGGCAAAACAGCCTAGTGTGAACGAGCCCTTACAGTGTAAATTTGCTGTTCCCTCAAAATAACTCAACACACAGCCATTAATGTCTAAACCGCCGGCAAAAAAGTGAGTACACCCCTAAGTGAAAATGTCCAAACAGGGCCCAAAGTGTCAATATTTTGTGTGGCTACCGTTATTTTCCAGCACTGCCTTAACCCTCTTGGGCATGGAGTTCACCAGAGCTTTACAGGTTGCCACTGGAGTCCTCTTCCACTCCTCCATGACAACATCACGGAGCTGGTGGATGTTAGAGACCTTGCACTCCTCTACCTCCCATTTGAGGATGTCCCACAGATGCTCAATAGGGTTTAGGTCTGCAGACATGCTTGGCCAGTCCATCACCTTTACCCTCAGCTTCTTTAGCAAGGCAGTGGTCATCTTGGAGGTGTGTTTGGGGTCGTTATGTTGGAATACTGCCCTGCCCTCCGAAGGGAGGATATCATGCTCTGCTTCAGTATGTCACAGTACATGTTGGCATTCATGGTTCCCTCAATGAACTGTAGCTCCCCAGTGCCGTCAGCACTCATGCAGCCCCAGACCATGACACTCCCACCACCATGCTTGACTGTAGGCAAGACACACTTATCTTTGTACTCCTTACCTGGTTGCCGCCACACACGCTTGACACCATCTGACCCAAATAAGGTTATCTTGGGCTCATTAGACCACATGACATGGTTCCAGTAATCCATGTCCTTAGTCTGATTGTCTTCAGCAAACTGTTTGCGGGTTTTCTTGTGCATCATCTTTAGAAGAGACTTCCTTCTGGGACGACAGCCATGCAGACCAATTTGATGCAGTGTGAGGCGTATGGTCTGAGCACTGACAGGCTGACCCCACCCCCACCCCTTCAACCTCTGCAGCAATGCTGGCAGCACTCATACATCTATTTCCCAAAGAAAACCTTAATAATATGATGCTGAGCACGTGCACTCAACTTCTTTGGTCGACCATGGCGAGGCCTGTTCTGAGTGGAACCTGTCCTGTTAAACCGCTGTATGGTCTTGGCCACTGTGCTGCAGCTCAGTTTCAGGGTCTTGGCAGTCTTCTTATAGACTAGGCCATCTTTATGATGAGGAACAATTCTTTTTTTCAGACCCTCAGAGAGATCTTTGCCGTGAGGTGCAATGTTGAACTTACAGTGACCAGTATGATCGAGTTAGAGCGATAACACCAAATTTAACCCACCTGTTCCCCATTCACACCTGAGTCCTTATCACATTAACGAGTGGTAATACTAACGAGTCATATGACACCAGGGACGGAAAATGGCTAATTAGGCCCAATTTGGACATTTTCACTGGGGGGTGTACTTACTTTTGTTGCCAGTGGTTTAGACATTAATGGCTGTGTTGAATTATTTTGAGGGGACAGCAAAGTTTACAGTGTTATACAAGCTGTACACTCACTACTTTACATTGTAGCAAAGTGTCATTTCTTCAGTGTGGTCACATGAAAAGATATAATAAAATACAAAAAATGTGAGGGGGGGGGTACTCACTTCTGTGAAATACTGTAGGTCACTGCAGAGTCAGGATATGGCTGAGATGCATTATATTGCCAAAAGTATTGGGATGCCTGCCTTTATATGCACATGAAGTTTTATGGCATCCCAGTCTTAGCCCATAGGGTTCAGTATTGAGTTGGCCCCGCCTTTTGCAGCTATGACAGCTTCAACTCTTCTGGGAAGGCCGTCCACAAGGTTTAGGAGTGTGTCTATGGGAATGTTTGACTACTTACAGAAGCGAATTTTTTTGAGGTCAAGCACTGATGTCAGACGAGAAGGCCTGGCTCGCAGTCTCCACTCGAATTCATCCCAAAGGTGTTCTATCGGGTTGAGGTCAGGACTCTGTGCAGGCCAGTCAAGTTCTTCCACCCTAAACTTGCTCATCATCATTTCTTTATGGACCTTGCTTTGTGCACTGGTGTGCAGTCATGTTGGAACAGGAAGGGGCCATCCCCAAACTGTTCCCATAAAGTTGGGAGCATGAAATTGTTCAAAATGTCTTGGTTTGCTGACACATTAAGAGTTCCCTTCACTGGAGTTAAGGGACCAAGCCCAACCCCTGAAAAAACAACCCACACCATAATCCCCCTACTCCAAATTTTACACTTGGCACAATGCAGTCGGGCAAGTATTGTTCTGACAGCCACCAAACCCAGACACATCCAGTGGAAGGCCAGACAGAGAAGCATGATAGGTCACTCCAGAGAACACGTCCCTACTGCTCTAGAGTACAGTGGCGGTGTGCTTTACACCATTGCATTGCACTGACGCTTTGCATTGCACTTGGTGATTTAAGGCTTGGATGCAGCTGCGCGGCCATGGAAACACATTCTATGAAGCTCTCCCCACAGTGTTGTGCTAATCTGAAGTTTGGAGGTCTTTAGAAGACAGTTGGCGACTTCTGCTCACTGTGCGCTTCAGCATGCGCTGACCCTGCCAATTTTACATCGCCCACCACTTTGTGGCTGAGTTGCTGCTGTTCCCAGTTGCTTCCACTTTGTTATAATACCACTAACAGTTGACTGTGGAATATTTAGTAGCAAGGAAGGTTAATGGATCAACTTCTTGCACAGGTGACAACCTATCACGGTACCACACTTGAATTCACTGAGCTCTTGAGAGCAATCCATTCATTCCCAAATGTTTGTAGAAGCAGTCTGTATGCTTAGCTGCTTGATTTTATATACCTGTGGCCATAGATCTAATGATATGGAGGGGTGTCCCCCAGTACTTTTGACAATATAGTATATACAGGGGGGGCTCAATCCCACAACCTTGAACATCTGCTGCTCTGGAAGTACTGAATGAATGAGGCCTTCATTCATTAGTTCCTCCTTTCTACGTTGTAAAGGGAGGGTGTGGGCTCTCCAATGTAAACACTACAATGTTCATTTGTGATTACTGTGGTCATAACAGTGTTCACATGGTACGTACCCGCTTGAGTCAACTCTGTATACTGTATCTGTGAACCGAGCCACACAATGTTGTCTTGGTTCACAGCCATTAATAGGTGCACTTGCCGCTTGAGGGTGATTTTATAAATGGCTCTACAAAAATAATCTTCTTCCACTTCGCTGTTCAAAAATGTACTGTGGTAAAGTGGTTAAATTTCTCACACTCCAGCCTGTATGCCTTTGAATTTCTATTAAAGAGCATTGCAGCTGGCAGACTTCCTGTCTGTGGACACCCAGCCCCCCCCCCCACAAGTCCCACTGACTGACCTAGACAGATATACATGGCACACAACTTCTGTAGAGCTAGTTTCTGGATTGGAAAGGGTTATATGCAGAGCCTGCCCTGAATCGTGAAACCCAGGAAATCCTCTTCAGCAGTTGGTATGTTGCCCAGACTAGAGTCTGTGCAGTGTGATCACTACAAGTAACCTGTAACCGCATCTTGCTTTATCTGGATGGAAATGTTATCTGCAGAGAGCCCCCTTCATACCTGTACACAGTGAATCCCAAGACTTGGGAATTCCTCTGCAGCTAGTATAATGTATGTAGTTGTATTGCACTCTGTGGGCCAGTTCACACCACAAACACACACTTCAGATGTGTTCTGGATACATTATTTTTTTTTTCTGCACCGGAAACTGAATGGAACTGACTGCATAGGTGTGAAGTAGGGCTATTGGAGTACATCAAAAACCCTGTGCATGCATTTTTGATGCAGAAAAAAAAATGCATTCAACTGCGTCTGGTGTGAACTAGCCCAAAGTGGGAATGCATTCTTGTTTTTTAAGCGACACAACTCATTTGTTGTGTTCTTATTGTATTAGATGCTAATGTCTGCTGTATTATCTACAGTAGCAGTAAGTATGGAAGGGAAGCGTAGGCTCTAGTGTATTATGTCAATGTCATCTAGAGTGAAAACAAATGTAATACACAGCTTCTAGTTTACTGTCTTCTACTGTTCATTTTTAGGCAACTTTGTGCGTATTAGGTTAGATAGGCATAAAGTATGCAAATTGTTAGTTGTTGCTGCAGCAGCAGCAGCAGTACTTTGGCTCCACCTGACTCCACTTACCTTCTAGTGCAGTGCAAGGATAGTCAAGGCACTTTTTTTTTTCTCTCCAGTTTTAAATTGGAACTTTAGTCAGAAAAATAAGTCCTGCTGGTTCACTTGAGAAAAGGGCCACACCCCGAAACAAGTTGCTAGGATGACCAATGACATCGCATCCTTTGCAGGGCCCTGACATGTCTCTAGGTCCTTCGGTCATTTTTTTCCGATCTCCTGCGACATCACTTCTCATAACCCGGGCTTCCGACTTGGAACACAGAGTGACAATGGCTGCCCTTCTCCCTGGGTATACAGATCCAGTGCATTTTTATTCAATCAATCTATTGGGAGCTTGGCCACTTATCTTTTGAATCAGGACTTTGGTTATATAGGACACCGTGCAGCCTTACCCTTGGTTTCCGATTTATTTTATTTAACTCATCTTTGGGGTATCCATGAGCACTCCTTCTTGGTTATGGTATAAATCCTAGTTCCATCCTGGTTCAGGTGGTCACATGGAGCAGCTGTAGGAAATACCCAGGCACTTGACTTTTCCTGGCATTACATCTATCTACTCGAACATCAGCAGCAGTCCTAGTACTGGACTTTATTGGGGTTCGTTTTAGATCACTTTAGATTGGCCTCTTTTGCTGGTATGGCTATGTACAACATTAAAAATACGTATGCCTATACTGTTTAAACCCAGTAATACACTGCTTCACCCTGCTCTTCACATTCTCAGTTGCTTTCTATTTTTCAGGACTGATCTGCTGACAGCCTAAAGGTTTACTGCTGCACTGGGCTTCAGCCAAATGGCAGCCTCCAGCAAGAAGGAACGGGGAGCAATGCTGGAGGCAATTTACAGCACACACAAATTTTGATAGCATAATTGTTAATGTGGAATGTATTCTTGCTAAAAAATATTTTATTTAGTTATGGGTAAAGTTCTGCTTTAAGGTAGAAACATCAGATAAATTGTTCGAAAGCTGCCTGTGGCATATCAGTCTTGAGAGATAATGTTAAAAATGCTTGTTTTCTTTTAATTATTTGTCAGGTATTTTATTGGGGTTCTGAATAAAGCCACTGGAAAGATGGAGGTGTATGATGCTGAGCATATCAAGATGCAGCCAGTACTGGAAGCAGAAAATAGCAGTGAGATACAAATCCTTTCATTACTACAAAATGTTAAAAGTGTATCTTTTCATATAACTGCTTTTCTTACACCTCCTCTGCATATTGTCTTCACATTTTTCTTGCACCTCCTCTGCATATTGTCTACACGTTTTCTCTATTTGCTTTTTTTTTTTTTTAATTTTTTTTTTATATTGGTTCTGTACCCAAGCCCTAGTGCCTCATCACTTTTGTTATGAAACTGATCCAAACTCCAGTCCCCATAAGGATTTCTGACAAGTGCACATAACTTGCCCACACATGCTAAAATTCATTAGCGATTCCAGATTTTCAGATCGTAGCTAAAGGTATAAAGAGTCAGTCCAAGTATGCCTTTTTTTTTTTTAATTTGTTTTATATAAAGCTTTATGGAGTTTTACAGCATTGGAAAAGGTAACAGGCTTATGGAGTACATACAAGAAAAGAGTTCACATAGCATCGCAGAAAGTCAGAAAAAGACATATCCCAAACAAAGGAGGAACCCATTATTTAAGATAATTTTTTTTTCTGTTAAATACATTTATGAAGGAATCTTTGAGGGCTGTCTTCTTATTCCCTCTGGTGAGTGAACTTCAGGTTCCTTACCTATAATTTCTGCATTCACTAAGTGGCTAGCTAGCTGGCTATGCACAAAAAGTCAATTGCACAATATTGGACAATGTTCTGCGTGAGTTATTAGGAATAAAAGCTTTATGATTAACACTGTTAACCTGCAACATGTATTTATTTTTGCAGTGGGTAAGCAAATCCAAGATGCGACAGACCCGTCAACAAGAACCTACAGAGAAAAGGTGTTCTATGGCTTTCATTTTTTTTTTATACTTTATACAATTCCAAGCTAAATTTCTTTTAAAATTCTGACTGTTAATGCCAATCTGTTACAAATCTCAGAAATTCAAACTGAGCATCAAAGATTACCTTCATTGAAAACTTCATTTCAAAGCAATTGATTCAGAGTTATAGGCAGCTGAAATTACATGTAAATTTTTTTTTTTTTTTTTTTTTTTCCTCCAAAAAAATTTTATTGGCTCCCTTTTTCTTCACTGTTCATCATTTTGATGATATCATACTCACTGGTCAGGAGGAGGTTGACCCCAGATTGACTGTTAAATGAAAATTCTATATTTGTACAAATTTAGCTCCCTTTATCTCTATGCAAATCACATCAGTGCTCAAATCAGGATGCTGGATACAAATTCACGACAAAAGTCTTGGGAAATCCTCAAAACACTAAATAAACACTAAAGAGGGTGCACGCTCCTCGTGCATTACCATTATAAACGAGTTTTATTATATATGAAATACAAATGGGTACTCACAAACCAACTGTGCAATCAGGCATATAACCGTGTTGGATCATGGGGTCCCATCCTGGAACCTGCTAATATAAATGCTATCGCATTTCGGGAGCCTTGCTCCCTTCCTCAAAGCTGAAATAGTCACACAGTTCCAATACACAATTGACTAATCTTTTTAACATGCAGTGTTCACATTTTTCAATGAAGCAAATTACTGATTATGTAGTTTTTTTTTTTTTTTTTTTTTAAGTGATGACTTGAATGCCCAGGCTTGTGACTTTTTTTTTTTTTAATAAGGGAAGAATTCACTAACCTACATACCTGGATCTCCCCATTAGTGTTGCCAATAGAATTGCAAACCCCTGATGCAGCCATCCCCATGTGCTCGCTGTTACAACCTGGGTATTATTATTATTATTATTATTATTATTATTATTACTTCGAGTTTATATAGCGCCAGAGGGTTTGCTCAGCGCTGTACAATAGAGGGGGGGACAATACATGGCACAGTACAAAAACAACAAACAACGTACGAGGGGTAAGAGGGCCCTACTCTTTCGAGCTTACAATCTAGGAGGGAGGGGGTAAAGGTACAGTAGGAAGTGGCTGAGGGGAATGAGGGGTGGGAGGAAAGAGGGAGAATGGCCGTTAGGTGAGGGTGGGGTAGGCTTCCCTGAAGAGATGGGTTTTGAGGGAGCGCCTGAATGTGAAGAGGGAAGGCGACAGTCTGATGGATTGGGGCAGTGAGTTCCAGAGGATGGGGGAGGACCTGGAGAAGTCCTGCAGTCGTGCATGGGAGGAGGAGACCAGGGAGCAGGATAGAAGGAGGTCCTGTGAGGAGCGAAGGGTACGGGTAGGGCGGTACTTGGGGATCAGGTTGGTGAGGTAGTCGGGGGCAGTGTTGTGAACGGCTTTGTAGGTCAGAGTTAGGAGTTTAAATTTGATGCGTTGGGCAATCGGGAGCCAGTGGAGGGAGAGGCAGAGGGGGGTGGCAGAGGTGGAGCGGGTGGTGAGGTGGATGAGTCTAGCCGCTGAGTTCAGGATGGTCTGGAGCGGGGAGAGCCTGCACTTGGGTAGGCCGGTGAGAAGAGAATTACAGTAGTCAAGGCATGAGATGATGAGGGAGTGTACTAGAAGTTTGGTGGTGTCAAGGGTGAGGAAGGTACGTATTTTGGCAATGTTGCGGAGATGGAGCCTGCATGTGTTTGTGAGTGATTTGACATGCGGTTGGAAGGAGAGGTTCGAGTCAAGAATGACACCAAGGACTTTGGCTTGCGGGGCGGGAGTGATAGTGGAGTTGTTGGTGATGACAGTAGGACAGTGATTACATCTTGTGCTTTTCTTGTGTTTCACAGATATATTGTGCATGTTCCACCTGGCCAGAGAGAGTAATGACTATCCATGCCCTGAACTCAATTCATGTAAATGGAATTTCCTTCCTTTTAAAGGACTTGTAAAATTAAAACATTAATAAGGCTTTTTAAAAGATATCACCAATGGATACAATTCAAGCTCTGCAATAGGTATATAATGTGCAGCAAACTTATAAATCCCAAATTCTAATTCAATTCCCATTCAATGCACTAGATGGCCTGTTTAGCACTTACGCATGTTAGACGCTGTGTTTAGAGCTAGGAGGGGTAGGCATTACAGTTTAAGACATGCATGGGTCTAGTGGGTAGTCTGATTCAGACCAGGGGCGGACTGACAAATCATGGGGCCCCCCGGGCAATAGGGGATCATGGGGCCTCTGTGTCCTTGCCCAAACTCAAAGCCTATGAAAAAGGTACCAGGGGCATCTCATGGGGCCCCCTACTGACCCCGGGCCCTCGGGCAGTGCCTGAGTTTCCAAATGGTCAGTCCGTCCCTGATTCAGACACTGCCCTCTATCTGCCTTGCAGTCCACCATCTGCATTAGCTCCATATAGCCCATATAGTCTAGCACATACTACAGTGGATATAAAAAGTCTACACACCCCTGTTAAAATGTCAGGTTTCTGTGATGTAAAAAAATGAGACTAAGATGAATCATTTCAGAACTTTTCCACCTTTTAATCTGACCTATAAACTGTACAGCTGAATTGAAAAACAAACTGAAATCTTTTAGGGGGGTAGTAAACATAAAAAAAACTAAAATATTGACATTACCAAGAACTGGACGTCCCTCCAAAATTGATGGAAAGACGAGAAGAAAGCTGGTCTGGGAGGCTGCCAAGAGGCCTACAGCAACATTAAAGGAGCTGCAGGAATATATGGCAAGTACTGGCTGTGTGGTACATGTGACAACAATCTCCTGTATTCTTTATATGTCTGGACTATAGGGTAGAGTGGCAAGACGGAAGCCTTTTATTACGAAGAAAAAAACATCCAAGCTGGCAAAATTTTGCAAAAACATGTCTGAAGTCTCCCGAAAGCATGTGGGAAAATGTGTTATGGTCTGATGAAATCAAGGTTGAACTTTTTGGCCATAATTCCAAAAGATATGTTTGGTGCAAAAACAACACTGCACATCACCAAAAGAACACCATACCCACACTGAAGCATGGTGGTGGCAGCATCATGCTTTGGGGCTGTTTTTCTTCAGCTGAAACTGGGGCCTTAATCAAGGTAAAGTGAATTATCAGCAGTTCCAAATACAAGTGAATATTGGCACAAAACCTTCAGGCGTCTGCTAGAAAGCTGAACATGAAGAGGAACTTCATCTTTCAGCATGACAACAACCCAAAGCATACATCCAGATCAACAAAGGAATGGCTTCACCAGAAGAAGATGAAAGTTTTGGAATGGCCCAGGCAGAGCCCAGACCTGAATCTGATTGAAAATATGTGAGGTGATGTGAAGAAGGCTGTGCACAGGAGATGCTCTCACAATCTGACAGATTTGGAGTGTTTGTTTTTGCAAGGAAGAGTGGGCAAATATTGCCAAGTCAAGATGTGCTATGCTGATAGACCCATACCCAAAAAGACTGAGTGCTGGAATCAAATTATAGGTGCTTCAACAAAGTATTAGTTTAAGGGTGTGCACACATATGCAACCATATTATTTTAGTTTTTCATGTTCACTCCCCCCTTGAAAGATTTCAGTTTGTTGTTCAACTGAGTTGTACAGTTCATAGGTTACATTAACCCCTTGACGCCACCGTAACACAAATATGCGGCCTCACAGAACTGGGCTTTTTTCCATGGGGCCACATATTTGCGTACCTGGCTTTGTGCAGTGTCCGTGTGAGCCCTGGGACCCGTTCTAACGATCGGGACCTGGGACTCCCGATTCTGGGTCACATGATCACTGTGATAGCCTCTGATTGGCTATCACAGTGCTCAGTCACTGTACAGCCTTGCCCCCTTGTGTTTTTTGTTTTTTTCCTCTTCCCTCTGAATGGAGGAGAGAGATACATTATATCTCTTCAACTCCTGGCATAGAAGGAAAAAAAATGTTTGTGAAAAAAAAAGGGAGACATAAATAAATATAAAAAAATAGTGAAAAAAACACCTGGATCAAGGTTTGATCTAGTTCAGTGCCAGGGTAAGAGTTTGGGTCAAGGTCAAAAGGTCAGGATTCTTTTTTTTTTGTTGTTCGTGCCTGTGTGTTTTTAGGTAAAAAAAAAAAAACCACAAAATGCGCAGTATTGTTTCTGGGCTGTACTATGGGTACAAACAACATACACATATATGGTATCGCTGCGATCGTCAAGAGATGGAAAATTTATTTTGGGTTGTTCTTTGATGGTAGGTTATGGTAGTAACAAGAAACACAGCTAAATTTTAAAAAAATATTTTTTTTTCACTATTTTGGGCCAGTTTTCCTTTTGATAATAAAAAAAAATCATTTACCATCAAATGAAAGCTAAGCCAATTTGTCCTGAAAAAAACAAGGTATACCGTATTTTTCGCTCCATAAGACGCACCTGACCATAAGACGCACCTAGGTTTTAGAGGCAGAAAACAGGAAAAAAAAAATTCTGAACTAATGGACTGCAGACATAGTACAGGAGATGACCAGAGACTGCGGACACAGTACAGGAGATGACCAGAGACTGCGGACACAGTACAGGGGTGACCAGAGACTGTGGACACAGTACAGGGATGACAAGAGACTGCGGACACAGTACAGGGATGACCAGAGACTGCGGACACAGTACAGGGATGACCAGAGACTGCGGACACAGTACAGGGATGACCAGAGACTGTGGATAGTACAGGAGATGACTGCTGACCTTTGGGGAGGTGGGGAGCGGGTACCTGAATTTGACAGGTACCCGCTCCCACTTCCGTGGAGTTGTTCTTTCATCTTACCTGTTCCTCGATCCAGCTGCGCGCTGTCTTCCCGGCTTCTGTAATGGCGCTCAGCATGACAGCCGGGTGCCCAGTGCGCATGTGCGGGAAGCACTTGCGCTTTGTGATTGGTCCGGCGGCTTCTGGGATCTGTCATGTGTCCCAGGTACCGCCTTACCATTCACAAAAAGCACCTCTTCTTGCGCATGCGCACTTGGCACCCGGCTGTCATGCCCACGCTACAGAAGCCGGGAAGACAGCGCGCCGCTGGATAGAGGAACAGGTAAGATGAAAGAACAACTCCACGGAAGTGGGAGCGGGTACCTGTCAAATTCAGGTACCCGCTCCCCCCCCTCTCCCCAAAGGTCAGCAGTCATCTCTATAAGGTCTCGCTGCAGAGCTGAGCGGCCGGCCCGGTATTCTGCACGGCGGCGGTGGAAATACCGGACCGGCCGCTCCATATTCGCTCCATAAGACACACTGACATTTTCCCCCCTTTTTTGGGGGAAAAAAGTGCGTCTTATGGAGCGAAACATACGGTAATTCACCTGGATGTAAAAACTAGTTGTAATGATATCTACAGTTTTACTAACACGTGTCAACGGTGCAAATTTGAGCTTAGGCATTTAGATTTGTTTTACCCTTGGCATGAAGGGGTTAAGGTAGAAAAAGCTCTGCAATGATTTATCTTTGTCTTAATTTTTTACATCACAGAAACCTGACATTTTTACAGGGGTGTGTAGACTTTTTATATCCACTGTATGTTCAGCTTCAGAATACTTTATTAACCCCAAAGGGAAATAATTAAGATACAGTTACGTTCAATAAAGACAACACAATAATGAGCGGAAAGCGGACACCATGACACAATAAAATTACCAATAACAGCAATTCCTACCAAATAAAACTAAATTAAACTATACTCTAATAAACCATCCATCCTAGTAAAATACTACATAGAATAAATAACACAGATTGAACAATCACAGAAAATCAAACTACCAAAATGTAAATATTACACCACATTTTCTAGCATTACTCAAAATCCTAATAATACCAACATATTATAAAAACCACACACAAATCTGGATCATAAATCAGATTAAATCTGTTGCATACATTTCATCACTTCCTGTCTGGTAAAACCATTTCACTGGGACAGTAAATGAGGGGGAATTTTTCTAATGGAGCAGCAGCTAGCAGTAAAACATGACAGGGCTTCTAATCTTTTGCTACTCTATCCAAAAAAAAAACAAAACACAAACTTTAACTTGACATACAATTTAAGAGTTTGACAGTAGAGGTTATTTTCAGTTATTCAAAATTTGCAGTAACGTGTAGTAACGACAGATTTTTGTTATTATTACATCTGTAGTAAGCACTTTTTGCTTTGGGGGCAAGTACATTTTTTTTTTTTTTTTTTTGCTTTACTGTTTCAGGCCTAATGCACACTGGACGTTTGAATTTTACCTCCTGCACATGTTTAAGAGCATCAAGCATTTGAGCAGTTAAGGATTTAATTGGCTAGATTTCTTTATTCTGGTCATTGGAATGAATGAACACTCAAGTGCTAAATGCGTCTATTGTTCAAACGCATTTAGCTGCATTTATGCATGTCAGTAGTTCTTCTTCTTCTTTCTTCCTTCCTTCTTCCTTCTTCCTTCTTCCTTCTTCCTTCTTCCTTCTTCCTTCTTCTCTTCTTTCTTCTTCTTCTTTCTTTTCCTGCCCAATAGCGCCTCTCCTGAATGCTGTGGTCTTTTTTTGTTGGTTTTTTTTTGTGTTGGTTTTTTTTTTTTTTTCCCCTGTCAGTAAACGCTCCTCTTCTAGTGTGCGTGGACACATAGGCTAACTAACATAAAGGTGTGTGTACAGGCAAAAAACCCCCTCCAAATGCCTGAAAAAAGTGACTTTTCTTCTTCTTTTTGCATGTGTGCATGGGCCTATAATCAGTAACAAGTTAGAAACTGCTAATTTTAGTAACTTGCTGCCTGATTTAAAGTGAATATTCAGGCTAAAAAAACACTCTACCCCTCCTCTGGTTCTCTACACTGTTAGCATTCTTCTTCTTCTTTTTTTTTTTTTTTTTTTTTAAGAAAATGTTTGCCCTCCTGCATGTAATTCGCCTAGCCGATGACATGCACTGTGCTGTCTTTGCCTCTTGGGATATACTCGTCGCATAACCAAGGCGTTATAGCTTTCAGTGAGTAAAGGAAGAGGGGGCGTGCCTATCGGTGCATCATTGTTAGGCTCCCGGCTTAAGAAAGAACAGCCAGCAGTCTTTCGATGATATCTCAGGAAACTGTTGCAGCGCAGTACCAAGCGCTGCCACAAGAGATCAGCATCTCAACTGGACAACACTGGATCTGGTGGTGGGTGAGTGTCAAAAATGTTACTCTCACCACCAGGTAAGCAGTGGTTAAAAAAAAAAAAAAAAATTGGGAGGTAGTTAAGCATTATTATTTTGCTCTTCATAGCAGCAAGGTCACTATAATGTCACTTTGATACATAACATTTCTTCTTTAGATCCAAACAGATGGCATGTTGTAATCTTAAGGCCTTTATATATTTACATTTTAACAGGTGGATGCTCTTATAGAAGCTTTTGGTACCAACAGACAGAAACGTGCTTTAAGTTCTCGAAAACTGAACCAAGTTGGCAGTGAAACATTAAATAAAGCAATGGTGAAAGCAGCAGAAGAGATCATCGAGTACAAAGGAAGAACAGGCAAGGGCATTTTTTCTCTTTTAAAAGAGTTTGTCAATAAATAAATACTTAAAATAAATCTTCTACTTTTAATATATCAGTGTGTTCACTTAAAGCGGAACTCCACCCAAAATGGGAAGTTCCCCTTTCTGTCATTTTTATCTTCCATTTTCCCCCCACATTTGGCACTTTTTGAGGGGAGGGGGAGTGGGTGTCAGGTTTTGACAGGTACCTGCTCCCACATTCGGCTGAGTAAGCTGCTGCGATCTCCAGACCCTCCTCCTTCTGCAGCCTTCTGGGACACATCACAAGTCTCAGAAGACTGCGGGACCAATCACAAAGCGCAGTGCCACTTGCGAATGCCCTTCGTTAAGATGCCGGCGCCTGTACCCAAAGCCGATTAAAGAAATCGGCTCGGGTACGGACATCACCGGAACTCCGCTTTAATATGTTCCTTTGTCATTTATTGTCCAAAGAAAAAAATCATTGCTTATACCTAGTACCAGTAGATAGGCTGAGCTCATATTTCAAGCATGTTTGGCTATATATACTGTAGATGCAGTTAATCTGAAAGAAAAAGTAGTTTTGTTTACTAATGGATGACCAGCTCCTTAATACCATATTAAAATCTATTTCTTCTCTACAGAGCTAGTGAAAGAAGCAATAGACACAACTAAAGAAGAGTTGTCTTCTATGTTTTTGCCTCCATGTGATCCTAGTGCAGATAAACCAGAAAATGTCTACAAATTTGATGACCGTATCCTTTTTATTGTGTGAAATGAAGTCTTCTGTAGTGACATCTCTGACACAGAAAATCCTTTTGGCTGCTGCTTCTAGCTCTGCATGTACCTGTCAGAAAATAGAAGCATGCTGTTTTATGTGACAGCGTCTAGCTTTGGCTTTTCATACATAGGCCATTTGGATCTAGGTACAGTATGTAATATCTTTAAAGAAATGTATTTTGGTTGCTGTATTAATGATAAATATGTTTAAAATCCAATACCAATGTTTTCCCATGTTTCTTATAGTGAACTAAAAATATTTTTTTTGGTTACGCCAAACATGAGAATATTAAATACAGAAAAATACACGTGCCAGAAGTTCTTAGCTTATCTGCACTACTGAAAAAATCTTTTTTTTTTCTTTCACCTATTGTGCATGGTCCTGCTTTCCACCTTTAACCTCAGGTGGAAAGACCATTTTTTACTATTTTTTTTTTTTTTCTTTTTTTATCATGTTTAAATATTTTTTACATACAGCTTTAAAAGTCTGTAAAAAATATTTTTCTTAAATTCCTACTAAATCTAAAAGATAAAACAAAAACTGCATTGAAAATAAAGGCAAATATTCATAAATGGTAAACTCTGCCTTTTTTCGTAATGGTAAAAACTGAAGGTACACAAATGGCAAATAAGCCCCTCATGCTAAAAATCTGGAGGTTGGCTTCACACCAGTGCATTGTGGTAATCCCCAATCCATAGTGCATGTATTGCAGTTAAAATTGCAGTGCACATGCAAAAAAAAAAAAAAAAAATATATATATATATATATATATATATATATATATATATATATATATATATATATATATATATATTCACAGCACTTAACTTTTTACACATATTATGTTACAGCCTTATTCCAAAATTGATTAAATTAATTTTTTTCCTCAACATTCTACAAACAATACGCCATAATGTGAAATTTTGAAATCTTTTCAATTTATTACAAAGTAAACAAAAAAATCCACATGTACATAAGTATTCACAGTTTTTACTCAATACTTTGTTGAAGCACCTTTAGTACCAATTACAGCCTCAGGTCATTTTGAGTATGATGCTACAAGCTTGGCACACCTATTTTTGGGCAATTTCTCCCATTCTTTGCAGTACCTCTCAAGCTCCATCAGGTTGGATGGGGAGCATCGGTGCACAGCTATTTTCAGATCTCTCCAGAGATGTTCAATCGGGTTCAAGTCTGGGCTTTGGCTGGGCCACTCCAGGACATTCACAGAGTTGGCCCATAGCCACTCCTTTGTTATGTGGGCTGTGTGCTTAGCGTCGTTGTCCTGTTGAAAGATGAACAGTCGCCGCAGTCTAAGGTCCAGAGCACTCTGGAACAGGTTTTCATAAAGAATGTTTTTGTACATTGCTGCATTCATCTTTCCTTCGATTCTGACTAGTCTCCCAGTTCCTGCCGCTGAAAAACATTCCCACAGCATGATGCTGCCACCACCATGCTTCACTGTAGGGATGGTATTGGCCAGGTGGTGAGCGGTGAGTGGTTTCCTCCAGACATGACGTTTGACATTCAGGCCAAAGAGTTCAATCTTTGTTTCATCAGACCAGAGAGTTTTGTTTCTCATGGTCTGAGAGTCCCTTAGGTGCCTTTTGGCAAACTCCAGGCAGGCTGCCATTTGCCTTTTTACTGAGGAGTGGCTTCCATCTGGCCACTTTACCATACAGGCATGCTTGATGGAGTACTGCAGAGATGGTTGTTCTTCTGGAAGGCTCTCCTCTCTCCACAGAGAAATGCTAGAGCTCTTTCAGAGTGACCATCGGGTGCTTGGTTACCTCTCTGGCTAAGGCCCTTCTCCCTCAATTGCTCATTTTGTTTTGGCGGCTCGTGCTAGGCAGATTCCTTGTAGTTCCAAACGTCTTCCATTTACCGATGATGGAGGCCACTTTGTAAGGTGATGCACTTGGGGACTAAGAATATGCATGCATCATACATACTTGGGGGGGGTACAACTGGGGGAATCAATGGCGGAGAAGGATCTGGGGGTTCTGGTAGATCACAAGCTTAATAATGGCATTCAATGCCAAGCTGCGGTTTCTAAAGCGAGCAAAATCCTCTCTCCCCCCTCTTTTAATGAGAGAGAGACCCCTGTAAAAAAATCATTAGTAACACCTCATCTGCATTTCAGTTTTGGGCACCAATTCACAAAATGAACATTGGGGAACTGGAGAAAATACAGAGAAGGGCAACCAAACTGATAAGAGGCATGGAGGAGCTCCGCTATGAGGAAAGATTTAGAGGAACTGAATTTATTCTCTCTTCAGAAGAGGAGATTAAGGGGGTATATGATCAACATGTATAAATACATCAGTGGTTCATATAGTGAACTCGGTGTAGAGTTATTCACCCTGAGGTCATCACAGAGGACAAGGGGGCACTCTTTACGTCTGGAGGAAAAGAAATTTAATCTCCAAACACGGAAAGTTTTCTTCACAATGAGAGCTGTGAAAATGTGGAATAGACTCCCTCAAGAGTTGGTTCTGGCCAGCTCAGTGGATTGCTTTAAAAAAGTCCTGGATTCTTTCCTAGATACACAGAATATAACTGCATACTAACATTTATAGGTAAAGTTGATCCAGGGAATATCTGATTGCCTCTCAGGGGAACAGGAAGGAATTTTTTTCCCTGCAGGAGCAAATTGGATCATGCTTTGCTGGGGATTTTTTGCCTTCCTCTGGATCAACTGTGGGTATAGGATTATAACTTTTTTTTTTTTTTTTTTTGAATATGGTTGAACTGGATATACTTTTGTCTTTTTTCAGCCAGACTGTGTGTGTGTGTGTGTGTGTGTGTGTGTGTGTGTGTTGGCACCCCTTCATTTCTGTCAGATAATGCACCACTCATGTTTATTTCTTTTCTTTGTATTGGTATGACACAAAAGAGTGAAGGAATAAGCAAAATCTGACACATTCCATGCAAAACCCCAAAAATGGACTGGACAAAATAATTGCATTCCAAGTTTGTGATGCTCCTGTAATTTATTTGTAAATAAACTCACCTGTATCAATAGCAGATCTTAATGTTCCTGTGTCCACTGTACACAACGTTGTCAAGACGTTTACAGCCCATGGCTTTGTAGCTACTCTCCCTGGACTTGGATGAAAGAGAAAAACTTGATCAAAGATTGCAACAAAGGGGATTGTTCGAATGGTAGATGGAACCAATCAACTTCCAGACAAATTCAAGCTGACCTTCAGACCCAGGGTACAACTGTGTCAGCTCGCACTATACTTTTCCATCTGAATGAAAAGGGACACTATGGTACAAGACCCAGGAGTGCCCCACTGCTGACACAAAAACATAAAAAAGCCAGATTGGCGTTTGCCAAAACTTACCTGAGGAAGCCAAAATCCTTTTGGGAGAATGTGCTGTGGACAGACTAAGCAAAATTGCAGCTTTTTGGTAACGCCCATTATTCTGTTTTCAGAAAAAGCAATGAGGCCTTTAAAGAAAAGAGTACAGTCATGGTGAAGGTTCACTAATATTCTGGGTTTGCTTTGCTGCTTCAGGCACTGGATGTCTTGACTGTATGCATGGCATTATGAAATCTGAAGACTACCAAAGAATTCTGGGGTGCAATGTAGGGTCCAGTGTCAGAAAGTTGAGTCTCCATCAAAGTTCATGGGTCTTACAGCAGGGCAATGACCTAGAGCACACGTCAAAAGCACCTAGAAATGATTTAAGACAAAACAATGGAGAGTACTGAGCTGACCAGCACTGAGCCCAGATCTCAATCCCATAGAGCACATGTAGAGAGATATCAAAACAGTAGTTGGGAAAAGGAATCCTTCCAATTTGAGAGACCTGGAGCAGTTGGTGAAAGAATCGCCCAAAAAAAAAAAGCTGCCGCCCGATCACTTCCACAGCCCCCTCTACCGAGCCTGGGGAGAGCCATGGCGGGTGCTGGCAGGTAGAGGGTCGTTCTGTGACCCGGAAGGTTACGTGTATGATGTCACTTCTGAGTCACGGCTATTCTAGCCGGTGACACATGTATTGCAATGCGATGTGCATCTAGTGGAGACCCGAGTAGACATGCAGGGTCTTTTAGATTCTCCCCACCCACATATACGCATGTATGAACGTCAACGCACATGTCGGGGTGCCAATGCATGAAAACGTCTATTGTGATACACATGTTGCATATCGCCGAACATGCCGGAGTGAGAGGAATCATTCTAGCGCTAGAACTCCTCTGTAACAGTAAACTGATGACCTGCTCTGGCAGTAAAAGAGTTAATGAATGGCCATGTCCAGAGGTTTGTTAGCTTAATTCATACTTAAATTTTAATGCATTGCTGTACTGGTATTATGTATGTTTTAGAGGTGTCCAAGGGGCCAAGTTATACCAGGCATACCTTGCTTGTTTTTGGTTTCTGAGGCATTCAAAGCCCTATTTGTTTTCTTAAATGGGGAAAAAAGTGCCAGGAGCAAAACACAGTCACATGACCTGTTATTCAGTGCTGCCATAGAGTTCTATCTTCAGCATTATGCATTGAGCGCTCCATAAGACATCACAGCCTGCATTTGTTTTTTAAATTGAATGTAAAATTGAGGCACACTATGAGGTACACACTGCCGTGTGCAGAGGATAACAATACTTGCTCTCCATTTTCGGTTGTGGTAAAACATATTTAAGACAATTACACCACGACAAAAATTGCATAAAATTGTTTAAAATCTATGCATGTTTTAAATGCTATCCTGTGCATAGGATATTTAATACATATATCTTCATACTATACCTGCATTTGAATATCATTCTAGTTCCTTACGATACTTTCCCTGTAATCCTAAGATATCAAAATCCTTTTATGATGATATTTTCATTACATTCTTTCATACTGGTGGTATTTTGATCTTAACTCTTGTCAAGTTATTTCTCCTGTGGAATATGAAGCTTTGGAAAGTGTATCTGCTTCTTTTAAGAACATTACATCTGAGGAACTCCAACAGATGACAGAGAAAAAGGAGTAAGCCACTCTTTTCAATGGGTTGGTTCAGCACAGAGTTACAGAAGTAGACATGTTAGTCTAGGTTGTAGTTCTTTAGGAAGTTTTGCTCTCTGTTCTCATATTTATTATATAGTGTAGCAGGCTTTTCCATTTCCTAAATGTTCTTGTTTTACTGTTCTGTCATTGCCACTTATTTTCAATATAATCTATGATATAAGGTGGAACAGTTCAACTGTTATCAAAATAATAATTTGGCTGTAGAGATCAGAAATATGCAGATATGTATAGCATGCATTTGGTGCGTGTTTCACATTATTGAAGCCAGCAGATCAGTGCTAGAAGCAGGCAGCTAGCACATTTAGATGGTAAATTGAGCACATTTTCTCTCTTAGGTTTTCCATCTTTCAGCGGTTAGAGGAGGGTGGAGAGGGTGTTGCTAATAGGCTTTTGGAGAGGCACAAAACATAACTTGAGTTTTTTACATTTTTACAGTAACTTCTTCACATTTATTAGGGAGCAATTTAAAGTAACAAGTAATAGAAGTATTAAAAACTGCAAATGTTAGAGTGTTGTAGTACATTTAACTGCCTTTCAGCATGGATACTGTCTGAGTAATTTTAATGCATGCATATACTGTATGTTTGGATAGCTTGGCATGTGTTTAGTTATAGGACCACCACGCCTACTAAAAATCATCTTTTTCACGCAGGCAAACTTTATTTGTACTTCAAGAGCTCCAAGATCTTAAACTCACAAATGACATTGACCGTCAAGCTCGCGTTCTGTGGTATTTGGACACACTGATTAAATTCAGCCAACTTAAAGTTGCAAAACGGAAAGGTCAGTTCTTTAAACTACAGTTCCCAAAATTATTAATTATTATTATACAGGATTTATACAGCGCCAACAGTTTGCTCAGCGCTTTACAATATAAAGGGAGACAATACAGCAACAATACAGTTCAATACAAGAGGGATAGGAGGGCACTGCTCCTTGGAGCTTACAATCTAGGAGGGAATAGGTAACACGTTTAACATTTTTTACAGCTGATCTGTTTAGAGAACCATAAATGAGGGATCTAGAATTATTTCTCTGGCTCATAACCAATGGCGTCGATTTACTAAAGGTAAATATATTGTGCACTTTCATCTAATTATATGCAAACAAAAATGCTGTTTTTTTTTTTAATTTCCTTGCATTTTCCCCTCAGATCTAGAGCAATTACACTTTCAGTGCACTTGGAGTGCACAGCCTATTTGCCTTTAGTAATTCAATCCTAATATGTTTTCTGCAATCATGATTTACTTACACATGCACTCCCCACACTTGCATTTTTTTTTCGTACGTGCAAAATGTTATTTGTTTTACTTTTTGAACACTTTTTTTTTTTTTTTTTTAACTTAGTTTACATTCAGTTTAAAATAGAAATGAAAGGCACAGCATTTGTGTATAGATATAAAGAGACCTTTTTTTCCCACGTTTGATTACAGTAATTACATTCCCTCTGTTCAAGGAGCTCAGGGAGGGGAAACAGCAGTACACTGATCTTCCCAGTGAATGGCTGGGGGGGGGGGGGGGGGTGACAGCACAAGTCTGATCATTGGAGGAGAGCATGCTGAGTTCCCGGCACAGCCAGAAAATTGGCCATGCTGGGGATCATGAAGGAATTTTTTTTCCCTGCAGGAGCAAATTACATCAGGCTTTGCTGGGGTTTTTTTGCCTTCCTCTGGATCAACTGTGGGTATAGGATTATAACTTTTTTTTTTTTTTTTTTCTTAATGGTTGAACTGGATGGACTTTTGTCTTTTTTCAGCCAGACTAACTATGTAACTATGTGCTCTCATGCCTAGTCAGTTTTCACTAGGATAGCAGGGGGACTGGCAGTAACACCAGGGATTTCACACAGATGCAATGACAAAAAGCACATATCAGGAATATGAAATGTTGGGGTAACATTCTTTAAATGTATTGCTATCGCAAGGGGGCTAACAAGCACCTAATGTGATGGCATTGAGCAGGTAACAGGTACTCTTATGGGGACTTTAGGAGACTATAAGGCTCCAAATGTCTCCCTTACTATCAGCTGAATCTGATCGAACGCAGACTGTTTACGCTTGATTCACTGTTTACCTAGCCTTCCAGCCAGGATTTTGCACTGAATGCTTCAGTGCCTACATTTTGCAGCGTATATAGGGGAACAGATACAGCCATGAGTTTGTTTTTTAACTCTTTCAAACCATGATGTGTGTCACATGTCTTTGGCAGTGAATGGGTTAACCCAAACGCAAACCCAAACCTCGGCAACTTAGAATGGGCATATGAAAAAAAAAAACACTTTGGACTCACCATATGATCATCTTAAAGTCCATTGGGAAACACAGTAAGTGTTTAACTTTTTGAGTTATCCTGTCACCTATAGGACTGGACAGTGTGCAAGCAAAATAAATTCTATGCCAACCCAGGTTAACTTTTTTTTTTTTCACTACTAGCATGCCTCAGTTTTGTAAAAACAGCACAAAAAGTATGATCATACCCACAGAGGGGTGGACCATGAGCCCCTCAATGGGCTCCAAGAAAAGAATGTTACAGTGAGTACGAAAATCCTTATTTCTCACTCCTATATTGAGGCCGCTAAGCCCAACACACTCAGATCAGATAATTCCAGGCTACAGTTTGTCAACACTGTCAGTAGATGAACTGCAAGCTGCCCCAGAACCATTGCCAGAGTATGAGCTAGGGACATCCAGTATAGCAGAACTGTCCATCCCCCCAACCCCAGTATCTTGAATCCGACATGGTACGACTGTGTGGCAGTGAGGCAACATACTTACAAAACCCAGACAACTGATAGGTTAGGTGATGGCCGGAGTTGATCAAAGTCACCCTAGACAGCCAGCAAAAATGGATTAAAGATTCAAATTCCACATGTTTTTTTTTCAAGCAGGATCAGCAGCGGGGAGATGCTTCCTCAACGCTGTATGACACTCCACCCAATGGTGGCGTCACTGCTCAGTCCTGCATAATTTACCATTTCCACTGCAAAACTGGTGGGAATGGGGAGAAAAGGCCCTGGGGACCTAGGTTAATAAGGTAGCTCCTGGTGCTTCACTTGACTGGCCCACTCACTAAATGAGTCTTCAGAAACGGGACAAGTCCTGAGGCAAAGCTAGTCGCCCTGAACCTACAAAGCAATCCACAGCTAACTTTCACTAGAATGAACTCTTGAAATTGAACTACATGGAACCCAGTTCACTACAGTCACTTCAGGGTATCCCCACACATCCAGTCCAACAGTGTCTGGATGCAGTGTTCCATAAGCAAGGCAGAGGAATAGTGCGCCATAATGCTGCCTTTGAAGAGACAATTTTCCAAAAGTGATGTAGAGAGTCTTGTTTGAAAAAACGAAGAGAAAAGGTGCTAGTAAATATCAGTCTTAACACAGCATAGCTGTAGAAAGGACAACCATCCTTGAACACTAGCAAAAAAAGGCATGCTGGTAGTGGGAGGGGTTGTCTTGGATCAGCCTATAGTTTGTGTCTAATCCTCCTGTAGGTGTCAGTGTTACCTGAAGGTTTAACATTTCCTTTGTCTCTTATTGGACAAGAGAGAAGTATGCAGAGGTTGCCTTCAGCTAAAACTGGCAGAATGAAAAATAGATCCAGTGATAATGTTTGCTTCAGTGTGTCACAGTATCCGCACGTTTTAATGCGTGTGTAAACCATATCCCTAAAATCTTATAAAAAAATTTAAAATGGTATTGTAAAACTTTTATTAAACCCGTGGATTCCATTAAAATAGCAGCAGAACATCCTGCTGTGAATGTGTTTGTTCAGGCACACCATTGCTATAGCAAACTAAATGGCATTTTAGTTTACATCTACTTTACTTTTGGTCTACTCCTTGTTGGTGACTTGTATATTTCTACTGTAAGTAGCCACATGATGGTTATACAGTCTATTGCTAGTTCTCACTGGTTAACTCTTTCCCGTTGACTACATGTATACGGGGTCTTTAACCATGGGGCAGCATATACTCGTACTTGTTTTTGTGCTGGAAGCCCCAGGTCTTGTACTAACAATTATGAACTGGCAGGCCCATTTCCTGATCACCTGATTGCTGTGATATCCTCTTGGCTATAAGTGATCAGTCACTGCACAGCTCACCCTTGTGTAATTTTTTTTTTAATCTTTTTCTTCTTGCTAGAGGAGAAAAGTATAAATATAGTAGAAAAAATATCTAGATCAGGGTTTGATTTAGGTCAAGGCCAGGGTTAGGGTAAAAGGTCATGTTCAGGATCAGTTTACTTTAGGTAGAATTTAAAAATTTTTTTTTTACCATTTTAGTAAAACTTTAAAGTTTTTAGTATTGGTGTCAGTTTGTAAAATGTGCAGTATTGTTTCTGGGCCCTGCTGCTGGTACATGCAACAAATAATATACACATACAATATATTGCCAAACGTTTTGGGATACCCCCTCCAAATCATTGGATTCAGCTGTTCCAATTACCTCCGTGGCCACAGGTGTATAAAACAAAGCACCTAGGCATGCAGACTGCTTCTACATACATTTGTGAAAGAAGCGGTTGCTCTCAGGAGCTCAGTAAATTCAAGCAAGGTACTGTGATAGGTTGTCACTAGAGATGAGAAGAAATGAAAAATTCGATTCGACTGATTCGGCGAATTCGTGGACAATATTCGATTCGAGTCGAATAAATTCGCTGTGAATTTAACTTAAAAAAGGGTGTTTCTAGGCTTCAGAGAGACTTAATATTAGTGCAGAACACTGTACCTTTAATTTAAATGCCCTTGGAGTCTGCTGGGGAAGAGAAATAATACTGTCTGTCAGTATGACATGCAGATGAGTGCCGTCGATCTTAGAATCACTGCACACTTCACTCCTTTGGCCAGTCACGGGGCCAAAACCAGTGTTTGGAGCCACAGTGTGGCGGTGGAGGTGGACACGGCAGCAGCAATGGGAGGCCATACAGCAACCTATGACAAAATGGAAACCAGCAGGAGCGTGAGGAGACCTGAAAGTGGCACATGGCAGAGTGGGAGCAATGGGAGGCGGTACAGGGACCCAGGTCACACTGTGGGCCCAGCAGCAGCGTGACCAGGC